CCTCAGTTAGAGCGTGCGCGATCCGCGAGACCCATGTCCAAGTGAATTGTGCAACCCAGGTCGAGTGTTCTTCCGTTGTATATTTTTAACGTATTAAGCATTCCATTGCGTGATATACTTATTTTGTTTGAACGATAGCATCGTTACGAAAAGGCTCCGCTGCCTTATACTTAGTGATTTATAGTGATTACGAATGGAAAGACGAATGAACAACTAGCATACACTGTTAAAAATCTTTCGGGAAACCCGTAGTGAAATGCGGAGTGACCTGAGATGTGCAGTGAAAATCACTCCGTCGAGGAGTTCGGAACTCTCCATGAAAGTGAACTGCCGCCATAGCGAGACAATGTCGCTGCAGCGAATCAGTTGTTAACTCCCCACTTTTACCCGGAGTGATTTTCACCCCGAGCAGAGAGTGCGCCATTGCGCGCACTACTGCACAAACGCGACCCATGAGAATAAGAGGCGTGATTTCAGCCTTATCAACCATCCGACCCTCGAGGTTCAGTGGCAGAGCACTGGACTATCACCAACGCGGCTCGGGTCCAAATCCACACGGGAGCGCTCGGAATTTTACGCTACAAATCGTCGCAGGATCTAAGGTAAATGGTTAATGTTGTCATTACTAAGGTAATCCGAATTTCAATTGTGATAAACTTGTAGAAACCCATAACTAATGTTCATGGCAAGAACTTCCATGTCTATTTGACAGCGTGCGCTGAGTATGTCGTAGAAAGTAGTTCAGTCATTAATTGACAGATAGCACTATCGGCGTGATTTCGTGAAATTTTGAAACCCTGCGCGGTAGCGTCGCGTGAATTCTTGTAGCAGCATATTGCCCCTTCCTCGAGCCTCCCCTCACCTCTCCTGAAATCACTCCTTTGTGTGGTGATTAGCACCCTGTGGTCGGGGTGCATTACACGCCGAGTTCAGGAGTGTTGTTCCCTCCGCGCCGTCGGTCACTCGTTCGTATTTTCACTCGATTTTTCCATGGGCAAAATAGAGGCGAAGTAAGAGTGATTCTTACCCCGGAATCTTCTAAAATTTCTAACAATGTAGCCACATGGCAACACTGTCGAGTTTGGAGAAGCGTACATCCGGACGGAACCTAGAAATTTTTCGGACACGTTTTATCTGTGTACAGATGTATAATTCTCTACCTAATGATTTTAAGGATCTACCTCGTGAAGGTAACTTAGTAGCAATTTTCTATCAATTGAAAACGTTCTGTTTAGTAGGAAATGCATAAGATTCAAAAGAGTTCTTATAGGTGATTGTTCTTCTTAATCTTTTAACACAGCCTGCTTTTTGACATGCATCATAGCCGTCATTTGGCGGCATCTATGTATGCACTGTTGAACAAATAAATCTCAAGATTATGGTGAATATTTATTTAATTGCTTCCTGAACACTTGAGCATTCGATAGATAAAGAATGCCTTTACTATTGTAGTGCTATCTTCTATCCAAAGATTTGTTTCTATAGTCTAACTTGTTTGATTTTTTTATGAGTATGATACGAATTTGTGATGTTTGAAATTCTTTGATAACTGTTGGAGGGACACTAACTTCTTCCATTGTGCTCAGTGGAATTTGCACAACGATGTGAAAAAAAAACTAAAGTTTAAGTTTATATGGGAACTGGGTCAAATATTTACACAAGCCTTGCATATTTCTGAAAAAAAAACTCGCTTGAATTTACACAAATGATCAGCGTTTATACTCAAATTTTGTATTTTTTTTCTCTTGAGTTTAGGAATAAATCGACAACTTCCGAGTTTATTCAAACTCAATGACTAATTCTAAAAACACAATACTAGGAATAAACTTCGGTGTTTTTGTGTGTTTATTCACAGGGTTGGGTTTTTTTCTGGAACACGAGTAAAAATTGTGGAAAAAATTGTTTAAAAAACATTTACAATGATGTGTATGAATATCAAAGTATGGACTATTTTAACACAAATCTGTTCAAGTATATACTCGGGGATGTGTGCGAGTTTTTACGCTGACACAAGGCTTGTGAAATCATTTGACCCAGTTCCCGTATAAACTTAAGCTTGTGTATTTTTTTTTTAACTGTGTAGTGGTTCCTTTTTGCAAAATGCAATCCATGTGTGGTGTAAAATTTGAGTTACCAGAACCGAAAAATGTCGGTGTTCAACATTAGTAGAACTTTTTTCTCCGCGTGTTAAGAGCCAAAGCACAAGAAAGTTGGCCGAGGTTTTAGTGTATGGGTACCAAGAAAAAAAAACACAAGAAAAAAACAAAGCGCGACACACGCTTGGACAAGAAAAAAAAACTGAGAAAAAAGGGGGAAAAATTTCAAACAGATAGGCGCGGAATCAAATCATTAACGGATACAAGAGGGAGGGAGAATAGGGGGTTAACGCCTCCCTCCCTCTTACTCATAAAAAAAAGGAGTAAGAGAAAAGGAACGGAAATCATGACGAAATTGACCTAAAACTGCATGTTAGATGCTTTAAAATTTCCATAATTGTTTGGGAGAAGCCACCCGGACCTTCTTACGCCCCACCACCCCGTTTGAAGTAGATCAAGCAGTCCCCGGAAGGACTCACAGGCCCTAGGATAACGAAAAACTTGGCTGATTTGCGGAATGACGCTGATTTCTCGTAATGGTAGCGGTTGAGGCCCAAAATACGCGATTGCTTTGAAAAAAATATCGGCGTAGTTACCAAAAAAGCGTTAAATAACCAAGAATTCAGGGTTCTATTTGATCCCAGTTTTTCTTGGTAAAATTACCATTTATGGAATTGGTAACTGTACCGAGAAATCTCGGTAAAATTATTGACTTTCTCGGTAATTTTACTGGACCCCGGTAAAAACACCATCATATTTTTTATCGACTATGGTAGAATTACCGAGATAAAATGGCAAAGTTTCCGGGTATTGATTACCAATAATAGTGGTATTCTTACCTGGAAAAAACAGTAAAAATACCAGTTTTTAGGTAAGCTTACCAGTCTGTCTTGGTAAAATTACCAATAATTGGTAAAAAAAAGTGAGATGGTAAAGGTACCAACGGACCTTGGTAAAACCGCCGAGAATTTTTTTTCAGCGTGAACCTAAATCCCACAGGACGCGCGTGAATGGGACTTGGGAACGGACCGGAGATCGGATAAGGAAATGTGTATCTCCCAGCGAGAGTGCTCCCGTCATCCAAAGCATGTAACTTAATCAGCAGGGTTCTTATTCAAATTAAGCGGCTGAATTACCTAACGCAGCGTCCAGACTAGACGAGGACGTCTTCTAAGCCTCTGGTCAAGGCACGCGTCGGGCGTCGCACAGTGGATCAAGTCAGTGTCGTGGCGTGCTTTGCGATCTATCGATATTTCCCCATTTGAAGCTGTGGTAAATAATCGATTATTAAGGTGCTCGCTGCGAACACCCTGTTTATCGATACTTTTCCATAGGTTTAAATGACCGATCAATCGATACATCGCAAAGCACGCCACGCCACTGGATCGGGTCGATGAGAGAAGTCGGACCAATTTTGGAAACTTTAAAAGCTTATATCTCGCTCCGTACACAATTTTGAGGTTCCAAAAGTGGTTCCATTGCAGGCTGTCTACAAGTCCGGAAAGTCCGGAAAAAGTACTAATTTTTGCCGGGCGGTCCGGAAGCACTGATAAAGAGCGGAAGTCCGCAAGACGGCATACGTCGCTTTCATTCTTTTGTCATTTATGTCGCAATTTGAGCGGGAAATTCAATTTCTTTAAATTTGCCGAATTTCGTCAATTGGAGGTACTGAGTTTTTCTGTGGACGAGGTACTGAATTTCTTGGGAATGCACTGAAAAAGTACCGTATAAGTACTGATTTTTGGCCAGCCTGTTTTTGTAGACACCCTGCATTGGTTTCCTAGTGAAATTTTCTGTTATGAACATCCCTTACAATTCATAATACATTAAAATTTGCAGTTGTAGTCTAAAATTTCATGTCCGACTTGTCTGATTGACTCAATCCACTGTGCGTCGGTGTGCGAGATGGTGGTTGGTGTGAGTGTGCCGCGACGCCCGGTTGTGCTTTCACTTTCTCCCATCGACCGTCGTCGTCGTAATTGTTCCAAGCTCCTTCATCCGCAGTGCCCTGTTGCCTGATCCTCTTAGTCCACGCAAAATTTTACCGCACAAGATAACCTACACAAACTAGATCTTACGCGCATTTGGGAAGAGGTCGTCAATTACGGGGGCGGAGAGTCCGGGATCTAGGTTCTTCTATGGAGGGTGAAAGGGTGAACAGAGACCTGACGTGTTGGAGGGAGAGTTCAGAAAATCGGGGAAGTGCCTGCAAGCTGATCATACACGCACTGATAACAGAATTCCGGCCGTGGAAGTCGTACTTACGGGCTATGTAGACATACCGTCTGCGTTCCGGGCGCAGAGGCAGAGACTGAAAGTTCCGGGCGTAGCACCCGAAGCAATCGGAGCCACGGCTCTAGCACCCGTAACTTTCGGGCTCTGAGCCCGGAACGGACGGTATGTCTATATAGCCCCAACTTATTTTTTCATACGATAGATTAAGGGGGAAAGGGACGATCCGATTGGTGTAAGCTGTGGTTGCAATGAACAAAATTGCAATGATGTGGGGTGGAGAAATAGATTGACTAGCATCTCCTACAGTAAGTCCATCATTAGTCTAGTCTATCGCTGTGTTCAAGCGATTTAGGCTGACATTCAGGCTGATTATTGAATGCTGATGCAAACTACGGGATGATTCACCCCTCGAGTCATCCCGGCTTTTATCAGGAAATATATTCGAGGTAAGGGAATTTGCGCGACATTGGAGCGCCTTCAAATCCTAATGATACTCTCCGCTTTGCCATGCTGTTAGTTTAGTTGCCTGGCACTTTGATTTGGGATTTGAAGGCGAGCAGAATAATATTCTGCACCAATTTGATTCGTCATACACTTACTCTTAATTCATTTCCTTATTTCAGTTAATGTATCATTGAATTAATGAATTTTTTCTTTTGCTTGTTTCAGGAAGGCCTCATAGTGTAATATTTAGGAAGCTCCATGGTTCAAGTGCATATTACAAGGTAAGAATCATATGTTTTCGTAGTATTTCTTTTTTCTTAGTGAATGTTAAACCGGGCCCATGGAGTATTGTAGGTACGTTCTTCCGGTTCGTTATTCAGACATTCTTAAGCTTTAATCGTTATTCTTCTAAACGGTTAAGTTTTTCATTCATCCCTCAGTGTAATATGTTTTTTCATAAGTTTTCAACTCGGAAGTTCTTGAAAACACACCTTTTTTGACTCGGTAAGGCGTAAGTGAACTCGTCGAGGATCCTCATATTTTGACGTAGGTCAGCGACAAAATGGTCGCATTAAAATCAAAAGGAGTTCCATCTATTTTGACATGAACCCTGAGATCCATGAGAATACGAGGGAGACGGGGCTCATGTCAAAATGGATGTAGTTCTTTTTTGTAGTTTTTTTTTATGTAGTTCAAACATAGTTTGGCTTGAAACCGTTGCTTTAGGAAATCAACGCACTGGCAACGTTTCACGAGTGTATATCGGTGATGGGTATCCGGTTAGTTCAGCCGGACTTTCATCCGAATGACGTCATCGAGGTGACGTCATACGACACGTGGAGGACAATTTCACCGCGACGTCGCGTCGCGACGCGTGGTTGGGTGCCCTTTTCAGCCGTCCGGAGCACCAAACTGAGATGCCAGGTCTCGTTTTTATGATGTTGCCCGGGCCTTGAATCGACGCACAATGGATCGAGCCAATTATAGAGGTCGGACATGAATTTTTTTTATTAAAACTACAAATTTTGATGTTTATTTCGTCTTATTTTAAATTTTAAGGGGTGCTCCTACGAGAAAATTTTACGAGGAAACCAGTGGAACCACTCTAGAACCTCTAGGTTTTGTATAAACAGAGTTATAAGCTTTTAAAGTTTCCTAATGTTGTTCGACTTCTCCTATTGACTCGATCCACTGTGCGGCTGAAAAATTAGCTAACAAATTCCAATGTTTAAGCATCAAAAATTCAGTTTGAGCTTTCTTTCCGCCATTAGGATATCCATGTAATTTCGGAACTTCAAACACGTATTTCTCAACATAGTAAAAACTGCATTGATGCGCCTTGTCCTCTGAGCCCCATGATTGGCTCTTTTTCGTAATAGTTGCGTTATTTTCCAGAAATTTCAAGCAAAACCAGTAATTTTGCAAAATTGGACTCATATTTTTCACCTACTTCCACTGTAGATCCATCCACCTTAAACAATCATTGTTTGAAATCGGGATCCTATTCGATACGTAACGCTGAAGAAGGAAAGATGCTCCGAGGTTAGGTTGCGTGTTGGCGTTACGCCTTGACGGACGTCGCGACGTCGGCGGTGGCTGCGGAGCGTCGGTTTTTTAGGCGTCTGCCGGCTGGTGGCCTGGCCTCGCGGAATCCGTGTCAATGTTTTCGACAATACCCGAGCACCTCACCGTGTTCGGCCTGTGTCCCCATGCCACCTGCGGGTATCCTCGTTCCGCCGGCTCCCGGCTCGCCGTTGCTCAATGTCTTCGTTTTTCGGCTGCCACTGGAGTCCCTTTATACTGAGAGTCAAGACAATTTGAATCCATTTCTGATTGGTTCCCGTATTTTAGGCCTCCACAGTGTCACAAACGGGAATAAAGATTACATTTTCACCAATTGCAAAGATTTTAATCTGGAATGGACCAGGGAATTACGGGTTCGGCAAGGAACAAACGGAATGAGAGGAGGAACGGAGAAAGGCATTTGAGAATGGGCCGATCAAAGATTACGAAAAACGTTCAATTTCTGTAATCTTTATTCCCGTTTGTGACATCCATGAGCCGAATTGTCTTGACTCTCAGTATAAAGGGACTCTAGCTGCCACCACGACAAGGATTCGCGTGATATCTTATATCTCTCGACGGTGAAAGAAAAAACCAAAAAACAAAAACAAAAAAATAAATTAATTAAACCAGAGGTAAAGGAAGAAAAAAATTGGCTGCAGAGGTTTATAAAGTTTACCCGATCTTTCGATCCGCAGATCGCGGTGGACGTAATTAAAAGCAGATCTTGAGTCATGAGGTAATTTTCAGGAAGAATGATTTTTGAGCACCTTGCAGCGATTGAAAATTCCGCAAATCGTGCGTGTTGCCGTAAAATCCAGAGTTTTCCGCGGGAAAAAATGAAAATCTGCGTCGTAACCCTCGCCCTCTCCCCCTAGAGTGTCATGTAAATTGGACGTATTTCTATCAAACGGACCTAAACATCATAGGGTGAGGAAGGTAGAGGGGGGCTTGAATTGGCGGCGGAATCGGGCGTCCGGCTTATTCCGTCCTATGCTCGCAATGCTTTTTCATGGCGCTTAGGTCCGTTTGACAGAACGCGCTATCCGGGATTCTAAATTCCTCAAAAGGAACTCAAATTGGCGCTTAGTTCCGTTTGATAGAAATACGTCCAATTGCAGCAGTGAGTTCGAAAATCAGACATCACTTAAGTACGAATAGATGCATCTCGGCGCCGGCCCTAACTAACCGAAGCAAAGGCGGTAGCTAGACATTTGACCCAATTTTTTTCACCCGATACCTAGTTTGGTCAACCAATTTGATCCAAGTCATACTCAGGCTGTGTTGCTCACGTCGTCCTTCAAGCACCGCCATAAATAAGACTTGCGGAATCAACACAACATGGGAACAGGGCAAGGGAAAGGTCGTGTGTTGATGACGGCGCAGGGATACAACTATTCGTGCTTGATGGATGTCCGTGTTGCATCTGCAAAATTGAAGGCGCTATGGCATGGGCCGTGAGCTCGTGATGCTTCGCCCTATGCTGCCAATGAATTGTCGCTCTCATTCGGGAGGGAACTTAAAAAAATCAGACCCAAAAACGTGTATCCTATCTTCGGTTGTGTTGATATTTGAATCAGTGAGTTCGATAACACACCAACTCTAAAAAAAAATTGTTCAGGAAACACCTAAAACTGGTGCCAAAGGACAAGTATTCAGAGACTTTGTAAAGCACCAAGTTGAAATCGATACACCATGTTTGATGACAGAGAATTAAGCGTTAAACGATTTCCAAGTTGGTGTGTTTGCGTTCTCACCGACTTTCAGATACTGATTTTTCATAGTCTGCCCTGGAAAATGTATATTTTTCGACCTGAATAACGCTTGAATATTTATATAACTCGTTGGTGCAAGGTATACTAAACCGAAAAAAGAAAACCGCAAAATCGGATGGTCACCCGTTTCCCTTGAAATGGTCAAAAATTGGTATTTCAAATGGAATACTTCGATTTTTCCCTTTTCTGTCGCTGTTTCGAGCACTTCCGATTGCAATTTCGAAATTTCCTTTTGCGTGCAGATGCTTCTATCCTTAGGTGTTACTAAACCGTAAAAAAGTGAAAATCGAAAAAAACCCGAGTTGGTGTGTTTTCGAACTCACTGATTCAATGGACCACTAGACAAGGTACGAACTTAAGCAATCTGATACATGTTCCTAAACCAGAATTTCATGTAAAACACGATTCTTGCATTAAAAATTAATGAAATTAACTCCTAACGAAGATATTGACGTTTTTATTTCACATTGGTTACGAGGAATTTGGACTGCCCGCTCACAAGAAACTCAAAGCTCTACGTTAGTCAAATCGTGCACTACAACGGTTTCAGCAAGCTTCTCAATCGAGCAGTGTTCATTTCCCACCATGTGTTGTTCAAACTATAAGCAATTTGCTACAGCTGAGCCAATGTGTCAAGATCGACGTTGCCAGATTTTTATATCGCAAAGACTGTCATGATAACGTTTTAGCGCACGATGTGAATCACGTAGAGCTTTGAGTTTACATGAGCGGATGGTTTGAATTTACGTATCAAGAATCATTAAATATCTTCTTAAGGAGTTGATTTTGGTAATTTTTGCTGTGCGCATCGTGTTCTACGTGAAATTTAGGTCAAGATACATAAATCAGAATGCTAAAATTCGTACTTTGTCTAGTGGTCCATTACGGACGACCCCCCAGGGCTGCTAAGCGCCCAAAATCTAGTTAAATTCTAAGACCCATCCCGTCCCTGGAGTACTTTTTTCCGCGTACGCGTGGTCATGGAACGGCGTCGCGGCGCGTTAACGTGTGACGGTGAAGCTCACCGAGGCGCATCCGAGCGCGTCGCGCCGGAGCGTCACGCACACCAACGCAACGGAGACATCTTGATTACCGTGTTTACGTACCCATTCGTCGGACTCAATTTACGCCGCACGGACACATCTCCATAGATGGTTCCGGCGATGACGTCACTCTCTCGATAGAGCATGACAGGATACTCTCGCTTCTAATGTGCTAATTAGCTTAATGCCTTTTAATAATTCCCCCGGCAAGTGCAATCTGGATCTCATCCGAAGATTTAGTATTCCCACGGTAATTAATAAGGGTAGTTACTCACCGTGCCGCGAAAAAAAGGTGCCGCGCGAACCTTCAGACGGCCGAATTTGCTTTTATAAAATGCGAAGTCTCAGGGAAACTTATGTACTGGAGATTTTCAGAAAAGATTATACGTTATTGATTGGGAAATAATTACGGTTAGTTGGGTGCTTAATACATTTTATTTACAGGTGCCTTGACATTACATGGATTGCATTCTGCAAAAGGGAACCACTAGCATTGCAATGTTGCTAAGATTGTGCAACTTCTTTTGTCGTGGAGGAAAACCCCGATTATCCCTTAATAGTTTCTATTTTACTCGCTAAAAACTGTAAATTTAAGACAAAAATTACCATCTAAATTTAATAGTTTTTCACAATTTTCGCAACTTTATTGCAAAGGATGAAGTTGCACAATCTTAGCATCATTGCAATGCTAGTGGTTCCTTTTTGCAAAATGCAATCCACATAGTCATTAACACCCTGGGAAAGAGAGATCAACAAAAGTGTACAAGGAAGAATTAAAGGAGACAAGGAGGGGATAAATTAAATATTGAGATTAAATTGTCTAAAAAAGGGAAGGATGCAATGAAAAAAATTCGAAATTATGGTATTGATTTCAAATCCACTCCATCATGAAGTGAT